GATTTATGCACAGGCACACCAAAACATCCCGAACTTGCAGACTTGGCAGGACTTCAAGGAGTTTACCAGTGCACAGGCTCAGCCGAGAGTTTCCTTGAACACTATTCAGCAGCAACAGTTCATTTTCGCCCAGAAGCGCAGGCAGGCTATCTCCGGCTCTACTATGCCACAAATGTCGCAACCAAATCAACCAGCTCTACAAGCGCCGATGATGGCACAGCAAGGTTCTGGGATAGGGCCTCAGCCTAATCAGCCGCAGATCACATTACAGGACATTCAAGCCGCTAGAATAGCCAATCCACTGTGGGATAACCTTACCGATGATCAGGTCAGAGAGCTAGTCGCGACACAGCAATTTCGCCCGCAAAGGCCTCAACTAACAGCTGTTCAGGGACAGAGCCAAGGTATAAACGCTGTTCAAGGCCAAAACAACACGAGGCCAGTCACTCAGCAAAGACCCGGTAGCCAGGCTGTGCAGCAAAACAGACCACAGCCTCAAAACCAGGTCCAGCCACCGACGGAGAACAGAAGTCTGAAGAGACCTAACCAAGATGACGCCCCTGAAGGTAACCTTGCGCAGCCTCCAAACAACAATCGACCACCTCTCACACAAATCACAAAAGAGCAATTCGACCAAATGACGCCTGCTGACAAGGAGAAATTTCTGACACAGCGCAGGCAGTTAGAGGTCGCTCACAAAGTTCAACAGCTGTCAAAGGAAATCTATACGCAAATGAGGCCTACTCCTCGAATCACAGGAATGGACCAGAACAGTCGCCAGAAGATCGTGAACATGCTGACAGATGACACCACCAAGAAGATGCTTTCGCGTTTCGATTCTTTCCTCATTGCGTTTTCTCAGAACGAGAGCGATCAGAACTATCTCCGAGTCTTAATCCAGCATCGATGGCGTCTTATGCAGCAATATACTGAGGATTCTTGGAGAAGCAAGACCTACCAGCCAGCTGAACACTTTACCTTGAATGCTGACAATCTCGAGAACATCCTTAAAAATGTCACCATGAAATTCCAACAGACTGCTAAGAATTCAGCGTCCTCGAGGGGTGCTCAGCCGGATCAGCTGACGCAGGAGAATCTTATCAGAAAGAATCAGGAAACAGCGCAATTACAAAAGTCCAAAGTGGCAAAGCCGAAAGATGGACCTCCACCTGCCCCTACAGGTGAAAAACCACCATTTCAATTCCCCTCGGACCGCGGGCAGGGCGCTCCAAAGTACGCAACACCCGGCTTCAGAGCGGAAGACCTGAAGCTGCCGCCGAAGAAGAGGATACGCAATGACGCAAGTGCATCTCCGGCCACGCCAGCCCAGACCCAGCAGCCCAGGCCGTTGCTTAAGTGTCCTTCACAAGGTTGTAATGCTCAAGGTTTCACTACACAGGCAGAGCTGGATCTCCACCGAAACCAAGTCCACAAGCCTGAGATGGAACCTGTTAGGGACCCTGTTGGGTTCCTGAACAATTCCATGCAGCAAGCTTTTGATCTCGACGGGAATCTTGACCCCAAGAAAGCCTCGGCTGCTGCTGGGTCTACAGAGGAATCCCTCAGCCAAGGCGGTAAGACAGACAGCAAAGGAGCCACACCTGCTGCAATGGCCAGAGGTTCGAGTCTACAAGGTCGCAAGGACATACCTCCTGCTTCGCAACAAGGATCGCAACAAGCCAATGGAATCCAACAGCCGTTGAAATCAACCCAAGACTCATGGGCTGACTGCAAATTCACCTTCGAAGACCTCGTCAATACCTTTGGACCGACAGAAAGTGGAGATATTATCCCGATGGCCGTTGATAACCAAGCTCTTCTGGACAGGACGTATGATGCATACACAAGAACAGACGAGTACAAGCGCATTTTTGGCGATTCAGACAATCTCACGTCAAGCGAAGGGTCATCTAACAAGAGCAAAAGCCCAGATCAGGGCAGTGAACCAAGTTTGCCGACCAATGATCAGGTTCAAGGTCGGAAAGGAGCAGAGCAAGATCCTTACGATGTGGATTTCAACATGGGTGGTGATCAACTGCCCATTCTGGAAGGCAACTTTGATGACCTTTTTGTAGGGGATGGGAGTGGCGATGATTGGGAGAAGCTCGATGCGGAGGGAAGTATGAGTGATTGGGAGAAAATCGATAGTGTCGATGACGACCAACAGCAGCAGAAGTCCGGACGGGATGAGTTTGATCTTGACTCTTGGATTAGCGAGCCTGCCGCGGCTGGCGGAGAGGACAATGTTCAAATTGAGAAGGCGTTTCGGGTGCTCCACGAACCCACTGATTGGGACGAGCTCTATTCTTCGGGCGACCCATCACTTTATGCTGGTGGTACACTGGCGTGGAACGCTATTGGGAAACAGGGTGAAGAGATGCGTCGTAAGAAAGGGTGGCCGATCGAGGGAGCGACTGGTCAGGCGTCGAAGGCGAAGAGACAGAAGTAACAGGCCATGAAATTGACATTGGAGCAGCAGTTGGATGGAAGGGAACGGCGAAAGCCACAAGCAGGATACTGGAATGGTCGGGACATGTTTTGATGATTGTGATACCACTTTTGAGATTAATCGGCTTTGGAGCTGGACGACATGATGCTATACAGGCGAGGATTCTGGCTCGGTTCAATGCTAGTCGAAGCTAAATGAAGGAAGATGAAGATGTAGTGATGAGTATGAATGAATATGGGCCATTTGACCAACGACTGGACCTCTTAGTCGCTATAGAATTCCGAAGCCCACCAAGCGCAAGGGCGGAATTGTTCCGTGCGACCAACTAGCGGCATCAATTTCAGCAAATGTTTCAGTTCCCATTCGTCAGCACTATCTTATTCCACATGAGCGGAAACGTTGACGTTGAGTCGTGATATTATGGCACGATTCGTACGAGCATCATGCGTCTTTCTAGGCGTGATATCTGGGAGGCGTTGCCATTCAATACAACAGCCTCCATGAGAGACCGTCAAGGACAAAAGAATAGTTGACACCTTCTACAACCAAATTGGTCTACTCTACTACTGCAGTGGTTCTCCCCAAGCCGAGTCCAGACTACAAGCGCATCTTACGATGATCGTCTCGCTTCTGCTATGGACAGCTCCGCTGTTGCTCTTCATCTACCTGTGCAACTCATACTCGCTACTGCCATCGAGAATCCCGGGGCCATTCCTGGCCAAATTTACAGACTTCCATCGATTCTTCTCAGTCTACCGACGAAGTCCTCAGAACGAACAGAATGACCTTCACAAGCAATATCGTGGTCGTTCCGACCTGGTCCGCTTGGGTCCGAATACCGTTTCCGTCTCTGGGCCAGGATATATCCAGCAAATCTACGCTATCGACAAGAAGCTGCCGAAGTCTGACTTCTATGCAACGTTTCAAAACATTGTCAATGGGCGGCGAGCAGCGAGTCTGGTGGCTGTTACGGACGAGCAGGTTCACGCGAAGATGAAGCGGTTGGTGGCGAATGCATATGCGCTTTCCACTCTTGTCGAATTTGAGCCCTTGGTGGATAGCACGACACATGTCTTTCTCGATGTGCTGCAGGAGCGATTTGCGAGCAAGAAAGGCCAGGTCGTTGATCTGGGTGAATATTTGCAGTTCTATGCGTTTGATGTTATGGGTGAGCTCACCATGTCTCGACGGCTTGGTTTCATCGAACAGGGTGTGGATGTGAACAACATCATGAAGTCGATTAATGCTAACTTTGAGTGGTTCTCCTTGATTGGTCAAATGCCTTGGCTTGACAACGTGCTCGGCAAGAACCCAATCTATGTCAAATACTTCCGCAAGCAAGTTTCGAGCCCGATCTTGCAGTTCGCACAGCAGTTGTTGCAAGAGCGGTTGCAGCAGCTCGACAGCGGCGAAAAGAAGGAGAAAGAGAATGCTATCAACAAACCGGACTTCCTTGCGAGGTTCTTACAGGCTAAGAATCAGGTCTCTGGATCGGATGAGGAAGTCGCGCCGATGACGGACTCGCTCTTGCTTTCTTTGATGTTCGGTAACATTAATGCTGGAGCTGACACGATTGCAACTACACTTCGAGCAGTTTTCTACTATCTTTTGACACATCCGGAGGCGATGGCAACACTTAAGCAGGAACTGAAGACGGCGCAAGAGAGCGGAGACATAACATCGCCTTGCCCAACGTGGCAAGAAACACAATCTGAGCACATGACATACACGCGTTGTGTTGTTAAAGAGGCAATACGGCTTTGGCCAGCACTGTCATTGGTCTTGGAGAGGAAAGTCGTCGACCCAGCTGGCCTGCCTCTACATTCACCAGACGGCGAAGACAAAATTCTCCTCCCACGCGGGACAACAGTCGGAATCAATCCCTACGTTCTGCATCGCGATCCACGAGTCTTCGATCCCGTCTTCGCCGCCGACCCCAGCACGTCGAATGTGGAAAGCTTCGACCCTGCACGATGGCTGCCGTCCACCTCGACCCTCAAGAATTCACGAGGCAACACTGATGCACAGATCAAGAGCATGGATCATGACATTCTCACCTTCAGTGCTGGAAAGAGAAGCTGCTTGGGCAAGAACATTGCCATGATGGAGATGTTGAAGGTTGTGCCTGCTTTGGTCATGAAGTTTCCGGACATGCAGCTTGTTGATGCATCAAGATGGAAGGTGAAGAACGTTTGGGTTCTGGCACAGACTGGGCTTGATGTTAAGCTCAATCCGTAAAGCAAAAAGTTGCAGAACAAAGCGAACCACTAACGATATGTTCATGCAAACGCTCTTGGTCCTTGGCTCATGTTTCAAATTAACAGGACGACGAAGCACTGTCAGTATGAGACAGACAGGGATGCCCGGCAGCGTTACTGGCCAGCGGCTTGAGGTACGGTACCCAACCCATGCCTCACATCCAACAAAGGTATTACCATTGCAAGACCCGGCATTCCGACCTTCTTAGATCCTTGCTTCGCTACCACTGCGACAGAGCACACCCAGCACGCCACATCACGAACACAAAACAGACGGTCGGCGGAAAAAAGAATTCCCGCACCAAGAATCGAACTCGAAGCTCCGAGGCATGCTAGACCACCCACCGATCAATCGTGAAAACCCGGTATGTTAAACCATTACACCATGCGGGAGAAGAGACGACAGCCGGACTCGGACCGACAACCTTCTAATGAACTTCGCCGACTGCAGCGGCGGATCCCCTCGATCCAGCCGTCTGCGGTGGCTTTTGTACCCGAGTAGCCTCACCCGGGCCATCGAAGCCAGATGCTCTACCAATTGAGCCATGTCGTCTTGTTAGGAAAGGTATTTTGGGTGTGTAGTATATGATGGTTTGACAAAAAGCATGGGCGGGTTCAGTTCGCTCGAATTGGGCCGACAGATGAGGACAAAGGGGGTACCCCGTTGTGTTACGTAAGCCACAAAGGAGGATCTGCTTTGTGAGGTCTGGATCCAGTCTTTGCTGATGAAGACAAATGAAGGATGCTTCGGATGCTTGAGGCACCCCTGCGGCTGGACCAATGACGCGTTCGCTACCGACGCTCGCGATGCACAGAGCCTTGGCTGCAGTGGACGATGATTAGTCCCCAGGCGAAGCTGCGACCAGCAGTTACGGCGGTTACGCTCTTCCATGAGACACCGTGGTTGCAAGGGGACAGTGAAAAGGACAACCAAACAGTAGCACCTTCTCCACGCCCCGGCTGTCGAATTCCATAGACAAAATATCAGCTTCTGCCTTCCTCCACCTCGCTAACTGAAGCGGGCAGTGCCTGTGTCCGAGCTGTATCGTACTTTCCCATCGCACGTCTAGACGTGGAAGGAACCTTCCAGCGCGTAGGCAAGAACGACCACGTATTCGCATCTTCCTCCACCGCCCGCCGTTCCTTCCTTCTCCGCTTGATCGCACTTTCCCCTCTGGAATACGCCAAGAGGGAGGGAGCCTCAGAAGCACAAGGCAGGGACATCCGGGCGGTACATCTTCTTCTGCATCAATTGAGCCTTCCCTCGTCGATTATATGTGAGAAACGCAACTACAATATAGGTCAGGAAGGGACGACCACCAAGTCGTCCTGCCATCGCCGCGGTCGTGCCTACCCTCTTGACATGATCGCAGCTTCCTCGTCTGAAGTACGACTGGACGGAAGGGGCCTTGAAGGCACGAGGCAGGAACGACCAGACGGTCGCACCTGCTCCTCCAAGAGAGTCGCACCTTCCTCACGTCTTGGTCACAGCTTCCCCATCTCGACAAAAGCAAAAGGAAAGAATGGTCCAAGCCAACGTGGAAAGAACTACCGGTAGACCGTGCCTTCTCAGGCACCTGTCGTAAATTCCTTCATGCCATTCTACCTGGGGGAACAGAGGAAGGAGCGATACAGATACCAGATTGAGAGGAAGGAACGACCATAACGTTGCACGTGCCATTACTGCGGTCGCACCTGCCCCTCCAAGAGAATCGCACCTTCCTCGCCTCTTGGTCGCGACTTCCCCATATCGACGAGAGCAAAAGGAAGAAACGGCCCATGGCGATGTGGAAGGAACTACCGGTCGATCGTACCTTCCTCTGTTGCGGTGGTGCCTTCCCTCGCCGATTATACCCGACAGAGGAAGGAGCGATACAAACACCAGATTAGGAGGAAGGAGCGACCGCAAAGTCGCGCCTTCCTCGGCTCGTAGCGGACAGGCAAGGCAGGAGCGTTCCAGGATGATGTGGAAGGAACGATCAGATGGTCGCAGCTTCCACAATTGCGATCGTGCCTTCCTCGCGATCCTTCCGGCCGCAGGAGGAAGGAACGATTCGGTTTCAAGGAAGGTACGACGACAGAGTGGCTCTTTCTGTGGATCAGGGCAGGCCTGTGGAGAAAGGAGCAACACGATATTACGAGGCAAGGACGAGCGGGGGTCGTGCCTTCCCTCTGTAATATCATTTCCGAAGTAGGAAGGAACGGTTCAAGTCAAAAGGAAGTAGCGACTCGATGATCGCACCTTCCTCTCGGTAAGTACAACCGACTGAGGAAGGAGCATTGCAGCGTGTTGAGGAAGGAACGACCATATGGTCGCAGCTTCCGTTGAAATAATCGTACCTTCCTCTTGTCAGACGTATTCAACTTGGGAAAGAGCAATGCGCCAATACGGGGAAGGAGCAACCACCGAGTGAGTCGCACGTTCTGTTGCTAGAGTCATGCCTGCCGCCTGTCAAACTCATGGTTGTACTTGCCCCTCGGCATAAGTTCTAAAGGAAAGGATGTCAAGGATGGCGACGATCTTCGCGTCACCCTTCGCCTTCACTCGGACGTGATGATGATCTTGTGGAGACAAGAGCAAAAACCCTGCACCCAAGGTATGATGCTAGCTGTGCTTCGGTACGCGACCCTTCATTACTGAAGAGTGAGTGCTGAGTTCGAGTGCAGGAATCTGATTTGGTTCTATTAAATGGTAACTCGCTCGAGGCCACGTCTGCCTGCGGAGGAGCCAATGGGCAATATACAAGTGTTGGTATGCCAAACTATTTTCTTGATTCCCACACGTTCATAGCGTAGAAGCAACACAGCGACATGCCTCCCACAAACTTCTCACAGCTCCTTCGTTAGCTTCGTCGGCTGAACCTGCGCTCGTGCACCCACCTGTTGCTACAGCGCTTCGTCCTCGCATGTGCATCATCTTGAGTCCTCTTTGTTTTGTTGTGCTTTCAGGCGAGCTGCACGTCGGTATTGATACTAGCTTCCTGACCAAGTCTCGCCCAACCTCTTGTACGCTCACATGGACTGAGCGTGCCTGGTCTTCAATTGTCGTAGACTTCGATCTCAGGGAAGGATTAACGACTGGTGTGAAAGGTCTTGCTTTGCACCCGGATGGGTCACTGTTGATCCCTAGGAGTGACGCAGCCTTCGACGGTATCTGGGACGTGTACAGTGGTGAAGAGATCGATACGTTTCGGTTCTTCTCGGTATCCTTCGACTGAGCGCTGTAGCTTCTGCTTGCTGGCCATGGCATCTGCACAAGCGTGGCTGTACGCGCTGGGGGAACGATTTGCTTTGCGTCAAGTCCAGGTAAAACGTGGTCATCGATTGAGGCGGGCATTTTGGGTGGTGCAGAGTCGAATAGACGCGTGTAGTGCTGGTCCACGATAAGCCACGCTGAGAGTATCGACAGAGAGGAATGAGACGAATGGGCGAAGATCTTGTTGAGGCTAGAAACAAGAAAACTATCCGAGCTATTGCCTAACCGATTTGTTCTAAATGCTGATAATTCTATGGAGTCGAGGTTGAATGTCTGGCTTGCATGAGCTTCTATCGCTTTAGTTGTGGATGAAATAGCACAATCGAGTTTCCAATCGTACGTGTCTTGCGAATATATGTGGCTGTGTTGCGACCTCTCAGATATGCTTCTTGTCTCTCTTGTAGAAGAGCGTGTCAACTCAGGCGGACTGCTGTGAGCACAGGAGCTCGAGTTGTACGACAGTGGGCTATCGAAGGGATCGGCCAGGCGTTTTCGTTGCCGCTCATCAGTGCTGAATGTGGTGCCCGTCGATACTGCCGAGAGTCTCTGGATGGGGGTCAAGGGACGGGATTGAAACATAGAAAGCTGAGTTTGGACGGACAATTGAGGTTGTTTTCGGGGTACAGGTGTCGCTTCACTGGCAGTTCTGGAGAGATCACTGAATGGTGTGCTAGAAGCTGGGCTATCATCCGGACTGAATGATGATATTTCATGTTGATTGCGAACTGGTGTTGTTGGCCCGGGTGGGTTTAGTTCATGATGTATAATTTGTTTCAAGGATTGGTCCGAGCGGCGTGGGCGATGAATCTGGATGAGTCTGGGTTTGGCTGGCCGACTAAGCACGGTTGCCTGCATCTATAGCAACGCACGTCAGATTGTTATCCAAGTACAAGGACCTCAAACATTACCTGTATGATTCCCTCTTCTTCTTCTCCATCAATTTCATCTACTGCCTGCTCTTGGTCTTGACGCTGTTCGATAAGCTGCACTTGTCTCGCGTGCGCGCGCCTCACCTTCGCGTCTTCTGCTTCATGCGGTGGCCGTTGATCGACAGGGGTTTTGGGTGCTGGAGACGAACCTCGACTACTGCTGCTATCCGAACAGCTGGCTGATGATGGATCGTTTGGTTCGATGGATGATGGTGCTTTCTGTCCGATCGATGTCAGGCTTTCGACCGATGGATTATCCTCCTGGTACATGCTCAGAATATGGAGATCTTGGTACGATTTCCAATGGAACTTTCTTCGTAATCTCTTCTCGTTATAAATGTGCTCATCGTGCAGGTTGGAGGCTACATAACGCCTTTGATGAAACAAGGCAGGTGCAGGATGTGTTTGTGAGCGTTCTGCGATTCGAGCATCGGCATCTTGGTTGAGTACGAGATTCCTGAGATTGGTTACGCTAGGCAGGACTCGCCGTAAATCTGAACCACACTCTGCTTTCCGATTTCGAGACCCAGCTTTGAGGTCTGCTATCGAGACGGACCGTGGGAATTCGCCAACGCGTCGGTCTGTACCATAGACTGCAGCGCTCCGGCGTGACGCCGCCAGCTGTTCGTCGCTTCGTGACATAATTCTGTGCTTGATAGGATCAAGTCTCTTATTGTTTGCAGATAGTGTTAGGTGTATAGCAGGAGTCCGTTCCTGAGTCGAAGAAGATAAAAGTACATCAGTAGGAGGTGAAGGTAACATTTCTTGTGACTCGAGCAATAAACGGGGAACGGATGTAAGAGATGACAAATGGTGGGTTGGTGACATGGCAGCTAGATATGTTTGTTCCACAGGCGTTGACAAGACTTGAGTCGACATGCTCGCCGTCACCATACCTGTTCCACCGTTGCATGCCATACTCGAACTGTAAAACAGAAAATGTGCCTAGTCATCAACCATCTCTACAGAATGTTGAGGATTGAAACACCAGATATTGAGTCAGACCTGCTCGAGCAGGACGCGTCTCTAGGGAGTTCCTCATGAGCATTTAGAACGAAACTGGACTCACCATAACCCGTTTTTCCGAGGTGATGTCCCCGATGTAGTACAATTCCAACCCTTGCTGCAACACAACACAGATTGGACACAAATCATCGAGTGTGGAGCTTGAGGCTCGTATTGCAGATCTTGACTGGTATGAGGATATC